AAATTTCAACTGCTTCTTCCTGATATTAAGTATAATTTTCCTCTTTGTTTCAATCCTCTCCAAAACTTTGTTGTTGCTCACATGTTTGGCCCATCCTTAACATCCTTTTGTAGAACCACATTGCTTCAAATCTCTTCTTCATCTTTGAGGAGATTGTCCAGCATTCACTACCAAACAGGATAGATATCACATAACAGTTCAGTACTCTTTTCTTTGTTTTCAACAAAAATTTCCAGTCTCTTAATAGCTTAGCTTTTGGAATGCATCTTGGCCATCCCAATACATCTTTGGATCTCAGTGTTGCACTCTCTGTCCTATATAGGAACACTTCCTATATATTTCTGTACGTGCTTGATGTTAATGACCCAACCTGTAAATTGTATTTTGGTCTCATCTTTTTGCTGATGACCAAGAATTCTGTCTTGTTTATGCTTAGTTCCTTCTTGCTCTCTTCTCCTACCTTCTGTAGGAGGTTTTGTGGTTTCCTTTCCATGTCTGTTATCAGCACTGTGTCATCTGCATATCTTATATTGTTAAGATTGTGGCCGCCAATGGTGAATACTGGTTGAATTTCTAGTCCTCTCAGAATTGTCTCGCTGTATAGGTTGAATAAGTCTGATGAGAAGACCTATCCTTGTCTTGCACCCCTTTCTATTTTTGTATATCTACTGAAATCATTTTTTATCTTTATGCTGGTAGTTTGCTGCCAGTTGAGAGGTTTTTGATTATTTTAATGTCTTTCCCGAATATGTCAAGGTTACTGAGCATCTTTAACAGATCTTTGTGACATGCTTTGTTGAACGCCTTGTTCTGGTGTCTTTAACAAACCCACACTATTCTTGTCCTATCTCTGGCCTGATTCTACTGCATGCTCTATTCATCAGAATACAGATGATGAGTTTTGTTATGTGGCTCATTATGCTGATTGTAGTTCACATTCGTTTGCGCTTGGTTTCTTAGGTAGTGCTATGAAAATAGATCTGCTTAGATCTTCTGGTATATCCCCGCTCTTATAGATTTCATTTATTATTTCTGTAATCTTGTCTATGCCAAAATCATCTAAGACTGTCAGCATCTCTATTACAATTCCGTCTGACACTGCCGCCCTGTTTCTGTTCAATTTGGCCAGTGCAGCTTCCATTTTGGTTTTTTAATATTTCCTGTCCGTCAGTGTTCCTGTGTATTGCTAATTGTTCTCTTTCGTCGTGGAAGAGATATCCGATATATTCGTTCCAGCACTGAATTATTTTTTTCTCTAATATGAGCTTTCCGTCGTTGGATTTCATGCAATCTGTTGATGAGAATGTCTTTTATCCTGTTAGTTCTCTTGTTTTTTATGCATATCACCTTTATCTGTGATATTCATTCTCTCTACTTCTGCACATTTTTTGTTTAGCCATTCTTCTTTAGCCTGTCTGTATTTGTTCCTTATTTCATTGTGTAGTTTTCTGTATTCCGTTCCATATCTTGGCATTATTTTCTGTCTCCTTTGTATCATGTCGAGAAGCTCATTTGTGATCAATTCGTTTTTCTTCTTCGTTCATTTTCTTTTGGGATAATGTTGTTTGCTCTCACTAAAGTTTCTCTTAGTGTGCCCCATTTCGAGTTTCCATTTCCATTTTGTCCCTCGTATCTTCTTTTCACACTATCCATATATTCTTCCTTCAGTTTCGGGTCGTTCAGGAGTCTGTTGTATTGCAATTTGGATGCTGCATTAGGCTTCTTCAGTTTCCGTAGTTCCATTCTTAGTGGTCGCCTCCGCAGTCGACACTTGGATAGGTTTTGCAGTGAACAATTGCATTCCTGAATCTCTTGTTGATAGTTATGTAGTCGATTTGGTTTTTAGTTTCTCGTCCTGGGCTTCCATAATTGTCTTGGATGTTCTTGAAACCAGGTGTTGGCTATTACCTGGTCATTGGACCCATTTTTCTCCGCATTCATTGCGGTTTCCTAGTCCGAATTTGTCAGCTAAAGATTTGATTTCTTCTTCCGTCCTTTGTGCTGTCGGTGCATACACGATTATAATAGATATGTTGAAAGGCTTTCCTTTCAGTTTAACTACAAGAATTCTTTCAGATAACTGACAGTATGCCAGAACGCATTTCTTGATGTCGTGATTTAGTATCACTACAATTCCTTTATCATTTTTTTCTCCGCCTGCATATATAATCCTGTGCTTGTTATTGACAAAATCTCCTAGATTCGCACACAGCTAAAAAGTTGACATTTAACCTACTCATTTCCTGTTTTACATTTTCCAACTGGCCAAGATACTGTTTAAGATACTGACTAGGGATTATCAGGACGCAGTTACAGAGGGCGTATTCGGACTTATAATAAGTTAAAACTGAATTATTTAATTTTCTTCTTCCACCCCACTCACCTTACTAACTTCGATCCATAAACACTTTCCTCTTTAATAGATGCGGGTGTGAGGGGGAAGATTTTTTTTTTACTCACTGGTGCATATATATATATATATATATATATATATATATATATATATATATAAAATAATTATAACAACAGAGTCTTCAACAAGTATAAAAACTTGACTAATTGCAATATTGCAGTGGGCAAGACTAAGTATAATAACACTAATAATAAATTTGTCTTTTCAATTAAAACAATAAATGAATAAAAAATATATGTATATTTTCTTCCTTTCCTTCTTCAAATAATTTTATAATATTTTAATGCAAGGTTAAATTTAAAATTTGTAATTTTTATTTTTGAACTTTATAGTAAAATTAAAATTTAATCAGTTACAATGATTTCTTATTTAGTCTAACATTAACATTAAGGCATTAATAAATTGTATCTAAGGTTCGTTGTAAGTTTTTTGAATTATCATAGACTTGTGTTTTGATTGGTCATTGTAGCTTATGTAACAATGTTTATCCTATTGAGGGGAGTTTAGTTGAATTTGAACTTTTTAAAACTCTTTATTCTGCTATCAACACCATCACTTGACAAGACACCAGAAGTGTTGAAACAAAATGGCTATTTTTTTAGTGATGTTATAACATATTTATGATATAATTTTATAATAAATAAAATTAACACACGCACGCACGCACGCACACACACACACACACACACACACACACACACACACACACATATATATATATATATATATATATATATATATATATATATATCCTGGGGTTTGTCAATGCAAAAACGTTTGCTAAAAAATGTATTTTAACTTTTTTTAATAAAAAGTTATAGAAGGAAGGAAAGAAAGAAGAAAAAAAAAGAGGAAAAAAGAAAATAAGAGGAACAAACAACAAATAAGGGAAATGTCATTAAAAGAGAAATAATAATTTGATATAACTATATAATCATTTAATATGAGTTATTAGAATTAAAATTTTTAATAAAAATTTCTTTATACAATATTAAAATTATATAATAGTATTATTTTTAGATTATAATTTTCTTTTATCTATTACCTTTAAAACTCTTCTTAACCTTTATGAGTTTTCTATTTTCCTATGTAGGTTGTTCCCATTTGAACAAGAGTTGATGTGTTAAATATAGGTCATTTTTAATTTTCAACCGTTTTTAATTCCTGCTTAGACTTGTCTATGTCATGACTTTCCGTCCATCTTTTTCTAACTGCCGTAGTTTTCTTTTGTCTCCCTATATCTCTTTTAATGCCAAATCCTAACAAAGGGCGGAATAACTCTCGGTGAGCCAACGGGCAGCTAACTAGAAACGGTGTCTCAATAAATCACTTTGGAGAAAGCAACGGGAAACCACTCCACTTTTAATCCCCCAAAAATATCATGGCAATTAAATATCATAATACTCCTCCGATATATAATAGTAGCCAGTCAGGGCGAGATATCAGAATTATTTTCCTTTTTGTACACTCATACCAAAAATGATCTAACAGTTGCTAAAAGGAAAAACTAAAACAATTTTTTTTAAAGTTCAGACTTGAAAATGACATTAAAGTTTACATTTTTTTTTTAATATTCAGACATATTTTTATTTAATAAAATAAATGTTTGTGACGAACAGCAAACGGATTAATTTCAAAATTTCACTGAAAAATTACAAATAATTATTTTAAGATGAATATAAACTTTGGATTATTTCTATCGAATGTGAAAGAGAATAATTGTCTATTAAATTATACATGCAGCAATTCTCAAAAACTATTTTTTTCTGTTTTATTGAATTGCTTTTAGCAAGATGCAGGTCAAATCTTCTGTATGTACACACTTGATATTTCATTTTTTTTTTCACTCAGGGATGTCCTTTTATATAACTGTAAAAAATTTCGTTGAACAGCCCACAAATTAAAAAGTATACACATGATATCGAAAAGGGGATGCGAAACATACCTCTAAAAATGGTTAGTTAGTAGCATAAAATAGTTACAAAAATAATAACTACTTAAAAAGTATGGGTAAATAAATGTTAAAATGTCTGAGTTTGTCTTATACGCGTACTTTTTAGAGAATTATATTAAAAGTCCATACGGTTTATTAAAATTTTTCATTTTCTGTGTAAAAGTTTTTTTTGTTTTTTTTATTATTATTTAGAATTGGCCCTAATAAAGAACGCCAGAAATAACTGTTATGGGGGGGGGACTGTTAGGGATTCACTTTTCATATTCAGAAAAATATATTACCCTCTTAATTTTGTACAATGAAAAGAGTGGCTTCCCGCTCTCGTAAAATTTAAAGTTGAAGCCCAATGATTCACCCTCGAAGATATTTAAGACGAGTCAGCGAATAAACGACGAAAGGTGGTTAGACAGCAAAAGAGAAGAAGACTGCCGGTTGTAGTGGAAGGTGGTTAGACTGGAAAAATAGAAGAATACTGCTGGTTGTAGTGGAAGGTGGTTAGACGGTAAAATAGAACAATACTGCTGGATGTAGTGGAAGGTGGTTAGACTGTAAAAAAGACGGAGACTGCTGGTTGTGGCGGAAGGTGGTTACATGGTAAAAGAGACGAAGACTGCTGACTGTGGCGGAAGATAGTTAGACGGTAAAAGAGGCAAAGATTGCTGGTTGTGGCGGAAGGTGGTTAGATGGTAAAAGAGACGAAGACTGCTGGTTGTGGCGGAAGGTGTTTAGACGGTAAAACAGAAGAAGACTGCTGGTTGTGGCAGAAGGTGCATAGACGCTAAAAGAGACGGAGACTGCTGCTTGTGGCAGAAGGTGGACAGACGGTAAAACAAAAAAAGACGGCAGGTTGTGGCGGAAGGTGGTTAGATGGTAAAAGAGAAGAAGACTGCTGGTTGTGGCGGAAGGTGGTTAGACGGTAAAACAGAAGAAGACTGCTGGTTGTGGCGGAAGGTGGTTATATGATAAAAGAGAAGAAGACTGCTGGTTGTGGCGGAAGGTGGTTATATGATAAAAGAGAAGAAGACTGCTGGTTGTGGCGGAAGGTGGATAGACGGTAAAACAGAAGAAGACTGCTGGTTGTGGCGGAAGGTGGTTATATGATAAAAGAGAAGAAGACTGCTGGTTGTGGCGGAAGGTGGATAGACGGTAAAACAGAAGAAGACTGCTGGTTGTGGCTGAAGGTGGTTATATGATAAAAGAGAAGAAGACTGCTGGTTGTGGCAGAAGTTGGTTAGACGGTAAAGGAGAAGAAGACTGCTGGTTGTGGCGGAAGGTGGTTAGATGATAAAAGAGAAGAAGCCTGCTAGTTGTGGCGGAAGGTGGTTATATGATAAAAGAGGAAAAGACCGCTGGTTGTGGCGGAAGGTGGTTAGACGGTAAAACAGAAGAAGACTGCTGGTTGTGGCGGAAGGTGGTTAGACGGTAACACAGAAGAAGACTGCTGGTTGTGGCGGAAGGTGGTTATATGATAAAAGAGAAGAAGACTGCTGGTTGTGGTGGAAGGTGGTTATATGATAAAAGAGAAGAAGACTGCTGGTTGTGGTGGAAGGTGGTTATATGATAAAAGAGAAGAAGACTGCTGGTTGTGACAGCAGGTGGTTAGACGGTAAAACAGAAGAAGACTGCTGGTTGTGGCGGAAGGTGGTTTGACGGTAACACAGAAGAAGACTGCTGGTTGTGGTGGAAGGTGGTTATATGATAAAAGAGAAGAACGCTGCTGGTTGTGGCGGAAGGTGGTTAGACGGTAAAACAGAAGAAGACTGCTGGTTGTGGCGGAAGGTGGTTATATGATAAAAGAGAAGAAGACTGCTGGTTGTGGCGGAAGGTGGTTATATGATAAAAGAGAAGAAGACTGCTGGTTGTGGCGGAAGGTGGTTATATGATAAAAGAGGAAAAGACTGCTGGTTGTGGCGGAAGGTGTTTAGACGGTAAAACAGAAGAAGACTGCTGGTTTTGGCGGAAGGTGGTTAGACGGTAACACAGAAGAAGACTGCTGGGTGTGGCGGAAGGTGGTTATATGATAAAAGAGAAGAAAACTGCTGGTTGTGGCAGAAGGTGGTTAGACGGAAAACAGAAGAAGACTGCTGGTTTTGGCGGAAGGTGGTTAGATGTTAAAAGAGAAGAAGACTGCTGGTTGTGGCGGAAGGTGGTTATATGATAAAAGAGAAGAAGACTGCTGGTTGTGGTGGAAGGTGGTTATATGATAAAAGAGAAGAAGACTGCTGGTTGTGGCAGCAGGTGGTTATATGATAAAAGAGAAGAAAACTGCTGGTTGTGGCGGAAGGTGGTTATATGATAAAAGAGAAGAAGACCGCTGGTTGTGGCGGAAGGTGGTTATATGATAAAAGAGAAGAAGACTGCTGGTTGTGGCAGAAGGTGGTTATATGATAAAAGAGAAGAAGACTGATGGTTGTGGTGGAAGGTGGTTATATGATAAAAGAGGAGAAGACTGCTGGTTGTGGGGGAAGGTGGTTAGACGGTAAAACAGAAGAAGACTGCTGGTTGTGGCGGAAGGTTGTTTGACGGTAACACAGAAGAAGACTGCTGGTTGTGGTGGAAGGTGTTTATATGATAAAAGAGAAGAACGCTGCTGGTTGTGGCGGAAGGTGGTTAGACGGTAAAACAGAAGAAGACTGCTGGTTGTGGTGGAAGGTGGTTATATGATAAAGAGAAGAAGACTGCTGGTTGTGGTGGAAGGTGGTTAGACGGTAAAAAGAGAAGAATACCGCTGGTTGTGGCGGAAGGTGGTTATATGATAAAAGAAGAAGACTGCCGGTTGTGGCGGAAGGTGGTTAGACGGTAAAGCAGAAGAAGACTGCTGGTTGTGGCGGAAGGTGGTTATATGATAAAAGAGAAGAAGACTGATGGTTGTGGTGGAAGGTGGTTAGACGGTAAAACAGAAGAAGACTGCTGGTTGTGGCGGAAGGTGTTTATATGATAAAAGAGAAGAACGCTGCTGGTTGTGGCGGAAGGTGGTTAGACGGTAAAACAGAAGAAGACTGCTGGTTGTGGTGGAAGGTGGTTATATGATAAAAGAGAAGAAGACTGCTGGTTGTGGTGGAAGGTGGTTAGACGGTAAAAGAGAAGAATACCGCTGGTTGTGGCGGAAGGTGGTTATATGATAAAAGAGAAGAAGACTGCCGGTTGTGGCGGAAGGTGGTTAGACGGTAAAGCAGAAGAAGACTGCTGGTTGTGGCGGAAGGTGGTTATATGATAAAAGAGAAGAAGACTGATGGTTGTGGTGGAAGGTGGTTAGACGGTAAAACAGAAGAAGACTGCTGGTTGTGGCGGAAGGTGGTTTGACGGTAACACAGAAGAAGACTGCTGGTTGTGGTGGAAGGTGGTTATATGATAAAAGAGAAGAAGACTGCTGATTGTGGCGGAAGTTGGTTAGACGGTAAAACAGAAGAAGACTACTGGTTGTGGCAGAAGGTGGTTATATGATAAAAGAGAAGAAGACTGATGGTTGTGGTGGAAGGTGGTTATATGATAAAAGAGGAGAAGACTGCTGGTTGTGGCGGAAGGTGGATAGACGGTAACACAGAAGAAGACTGCTGGTTGTGGTGGAAGGTGTTTATATGATAAAAGAGAAGAACGCTGCTGGTTGTGGCGGAAGGTGGTTTGACGGTAAAACAGAAGAAGACTGCTGGTTGTGGTGGAAGGTGGTTATATGATAAAAGAGAAGAATACCGCTGGTTGTGGCAGAAGGTGGTTATATGATAAAAGAGAAGAAGACTGCTGGTTGTGGTGGAAGGTGGTTATATGATAAAAGAGAAGAATACCGCTGGTTGTGGCGGAAGGTGGTTATATGATAAAAGAGAAGAAGAATGCTGGTTGTGGCGGAAGGTGGTTAGACGGTAAAACAGAAGAAGACTGCTGGTTGTGGCGGAAGGTGGTTTGACGGTAACACAGAAGAAGACTGCTGGTTGTGGTGGAAGGTGGTTATATGATAAAAGAGAAGAACGCTGCTGGTTGTGGCGGAAGGTGGATAGACGGTAAAACAGAAGAAGACTGCTGGTTGTGGCGGAAGGTGGTTTGACGGTAACACAGAAGAAGACTGCTGGTTGTGGCGGAAGGTGGTTATATGATAAAAGAGAAGAAGAATGCTGGTTGTGGCGGAAGGTGGTTAGACGGTAAAACAGAAGAAGACTGCTGGTTGTGGCGGAAGGTGGTTTGACGGTAACACAGAAGAAGACTGCTGGTTGTGGTGGAAGGTGGTTATATGATAAAAGAGAAGAAGACTGCTGATTGTGGCGGAAGTTGGTTAGACGGTAAAACAGAAGAAGACTACTGGTTGTGGCGGAAGGTGGTTATATGATAAAAGAGAAGAAGACTGCTGGTTGTGGCGGAAGGTGGTTAGACGGTAAAACAGAAGAAGACTGCTGGTTGTGGCGGAAGGTGGTTATATGATAAAAGAGAAGAAGACTGCTGGTTGTGGCGGAAGGTGGTTAGACGGTAAAAGAGAAGAAGACTGCTGGTTCTGGCGGAAGGTGGTTAGATGATAAAAGAGAAGAAGACTGCTGGTTGTGGCGGAAGGTGGTTATATGATAAAAGAGAAGAAGACTGCTGGTTGTGGCGGAAGGTGGTTAGACGGTAAAAGAGAAGAAGACTGCTGGTTGTGGCGGAAGTTGGTTATATGATAAAAGAGAAGAAGACTGCTGGTTGTGGCGGAAGGTGGTTAGACGTCAGAAGTGACTGGAGACTGAAGTTGGCTCGAATTGATCGTCTGATATGAAGCAAACGAAACTGGCTGAGGAAATGTCTTTACGCTTCCTTGTGTGCACGTCCCTATTCAAGCAAATGGGAGAAAGCTTCTTAAAACTTACACCGACGGAAGACATTTTACAATAATGTAAAAATATCACGGGAAAAGGAAATCAAACCCACTAACCACGTGAAAACCAAGCAGAAATAAAACCGAACGACATTGCAAAATCTCGTGAATACAGCCCCAGTGAAGTATGAAGAAACAGAAAGTAAAAGTTACATCATTGAAAAAATCTCGAAGGAAATACAAATATTTCTTGTTTATCTACCAGATAGGTACACATTGTTTACTAAGAGTATTTTTTTCAATTGTTGTGCAAGCTTTTATTTATTTATTTATTTATTTTTGAGAAATGTGTACTTTGTTACATCGTTTTGGCACAGTTTAATCTCTGTTTGTGGCTTTCAAATTTCAGGAGATAGTTTCGAGTATTTGTTATCGTATGCGCCTTTTTTAACATTCGGGATAAGAGAGGCGGCGTTCACTCTTCTCCCACGTCCTTTTGTGAGTTAAATTTTTATAAAATACTTCCCCCAAAGATTTTTAACAAAATAACGTATTCATTAAAATATTAATTTATTAATGTATAAGTCCCGGAAATTTCGGACAATTACCTAAACATCTAAAATCAGAAGTGGCATTTTTTTTAAAAACTAAGATCACACCCATTTTACATAGTTAAAGCCATTCGTAATGTGTGAGCTGAACTTGTGAGTACATTTTTTTTTTCTTTAAGGCTTGAGGTACCAGGGATCCCTTCTGTTGTGGATTCCGTGAATGGAATCCTGCACAAATAAATAAACAACGCCAGTAATTGAAATAGAAAAATAAGTGTATTATACGTAAGAATACAGACCTGAAGTGAAGAGTAGTAGTCCAGAAATGCGGGTTAGTATAAAGTATATGTAAGTCTCTGTAAGTAAAGCCGTAATCATCTCTCTCTCTGGATTCTTGTATAACTCTCTGAGAACACCCTGTGTTTGTCTACGTATCTCTCAACCTGTCTCAACGTATCTCCACGTATCTCAACGTATCTCAACAGCAGGTATTCTCTCTGTGAGTGTAAGTATACTTTGAACGAGTTCATCCTATCTAAAAAGGGGAGAGCCCCACAACCCCCCTCCTTAGCTTCTTTGGGGGTAGAGTTAATATGTTTTTCGCTTATGGTCTATTATTAGTGGTTCCGTGAATTTTCTTTTTCGGCTTGTTCTTCTGATCTCCGTGGCTACTTGTGGTTTGAATTTCGAAGGCTTCGAAAATCGCCCCCCTCGCGTCTTCATTTTCGGAAGGTGACGAGTTTGGTTCCTCTACCCGTCTTTTCTGTATCTGATTTATGTGTCTCCTGTGAGTGAATTTTTCACCTTGGATCGTGTATAGAACATTCCCCAGTCTGTTTATTATCGTACCTGGTTCCCAGTATGCCATATTATTCTTGAAAATTCTGAAATAAACCCGTTTGCTTGGTTTGAAGGATCTTTTAGGCATTATCGGTGTATGCCGTTTTTTATTTTTGCTGGGCAAAAAATCAGACCGTATTTTGCGGGCAAACATCACTTTAGGTGGCGAAAGGCCAGATGGTGTGTTTCCGTTCGGGGTGACTCTGTAGACTTGTAGGAACTGTTGTATGGCTCTTTCGGTTGGTACGTCCTCTGCTTTTTTCAAGGCTCTCTTAATCGTGTCCACAAAACTTTCGGCTTGCCCGTTAGATCGTGGATGGTATGGTGCTATTTTAATATGTTTGACTTGATAAGTCGCACAGAATTCTTGAAAGTCGCTCGAGGTGAATTGGGTACCATTATCCATTACAAGGCAATCTACAACGCCGAATCTTGCGAATAACTCGTGCAGACAATATTGTTTTCCGTCGTAGGTTTTTTGTATCTGAAAACTTCTGGCCACTTGCTAAAGCTATCTAGCGTTATCAAGTAGTAATATCCATCTATGGGTCCTGCATAGTCCGCATGGACTCTAGACCAAGGTCTGTCCACCTTAGGCCATGGTTTTTGTATAATATGTGGTGCCTTTGCTGCCACAGCACAGCCTCTACATTTTTCTACCATTTGAGTAATGTCGTTATCCATATTAGGCCAATACACGAAACTTCTCATTAACGCTTTCATACGATTTTTTCCTGGGTGTCCTAGATGAAAGTCTTTCAGAATTCGTCTTTGTAAAGATTTGGGTATGACCACTCTTTCATTATAAAGTAATACGTGATTACAAATTGAAAAACACTCCGCTAGATTTCTTTCTTTTTCTTCTATTTTTCTCTTTGTACTTTGTATGAATTCATCCATTTCAGCTTCTCTTCTGATTTCTAACAGGGTCACTGGTAATTCCCTTACTGTATTTTTTAGAACTTTACTAATTTCGTCTTCGGCTCGCAAAGCCGATATAACCGATTCTTCCAGAGGTTCGCATTTCGCAGGTACCAATCTAGATAATCCATCCGCATGACCAATTTTCTTCGACGGTTGGAACTCTAGTTTGAAATTATAATTCAATAATATAGTTCCCCATCTCAGAAGTCTGTTGGCTGTGTAAACTGGTAGTCCTTTTTTCGATCCGAATATAGTGAGAATAGGTTTATGGTCAGTTTAAAGAGTAAACTCTCTTCCATATATGTATCTGTTGAAGCGAGTTATGGCGAATATTATGCCTAACGCTTCTTTCTCAATTTGCGAATAATTCCTCTCTGCTGGTAACAACGATCTAGATGCGTGAGCTATAGGTTTCCTTGTGCCATCCTGCATCTTGTGTAATATACAAGTTCCCACTCCGTGTGAGCTTGCGTCACTAGCAATTATAATTTCCAGTTTAGGATCAAAATGCGTCAGTGCTAGATCAGACGTTAATTTCTTTATGATCTCCTTAAAAGCTTTCTGACAATCTTCCGTCCAGTTCCATTTGTTATCTTTTTTCAATAATTCATTGAGGGGAGCCCTCAATTTGTGCATGTTTTCAATTAATTCATATAGTATCTATAGTCTGTTGAAAGATTGACAGTGCTACTTTTGTCCCAAATGGCAATCTGTTAAATTTTTAAAGTCCTTTGTGAGTATTGATACATAAAATTTTTGTACTTTCTTCTTCTATTGAAATCTGCAGATAAGCTTCGCTTAAATCAATCTTAGAAAATACCTTACCATCCCAAACCGCTTGAGAATACTTCGGAAAATTGCCTGTGTAGTTCTTCTTTTAATTTTGTAGTTTCTGACTGTTCGCACTCTATTTTCTTACAAAATGAGCTAATGGGTAAATCCCATACGTCAAATTTTTGCATCCAATCCGTGCCCACCAAATTTTCTGTGTCTTTCATTACAAATATCTTCAATTTTTTCGTTTTACCATGGAATTTTACGTTTAGAATTACTTCTTCAAAATTGATACGCCTCCCTGTAACAGACTTGGCGATTTTCTGTGTATGCATCATGGTCGATCTATTTAGCTTCCTCCATATCTGTAAATTAATTATAGTTAGATCCGATCCTGAGTCTAACTGTAATTTTAACTTCTTAAAGTTAAGTCGAGTTCCACGTATTTTCTTGTGTTTAGTTTGTCTTCGTAGTCCATTCTCGTAGTTCTTACCCTATTAGTGTGTTTTTTGTTTCTGCATTGAGATGCCGTATGTCCCATTTTTCCAAAAGTAAACAGTTCTTGTATTTAAATCGACAGTCTTTATTTCAGTGGAATCCACCACATCTGTAACATGCAGATGGGGGAGGGGGGCTTATATTTGCTTTGATCTCTGTAATTAATCGCCTTATACCTTGTAATTTTTTCTTTATCATAAAATTTTGTTTTTTCTTTCGGAGGGGGGCGTAACTTTTGTTCAACTTACGTATGTGTGCTACTCCCGATTCCTCGATATCCTTAGAGTCTTTTTTTTTTATACCCAAGCATTTTTGGCAGTCTTCTGACAATTTTTGTAGCGTTAATACAGGCTCGTTTTGAAGCTTTGTGAGCATTCTTTTTCGCATTTCACTGTCCTTGGCTGAGACTAATCCCTGTACGAAAATAAGACACTTAAAATTGTCCGGAGTTAATTCTGCCAATTTAAATTCATCGCAATGTTTGTTCACAATTGCGGCGAACGTGGAGTAGTCCTCATTTTCGCTTTTTACGAGGTTGAGACATTTCGACCTTTTGTGAAAAAGTGAAGTCTTTGGACTGAAGAGCTCTGTAAGGCATGTAACTGCCTCGTCAAACGTCAAATCGTTTGTCTTTTTCGGTAGAATATAGTCCACAAATTTTGTGTACTCCTCTGTTCCCAATTTCCTGAGTAATCCGCCCCGTTGTATCTATAGGGAACAAAAAAAAAGGAAAATCAAGACTGGCACGAATTACGCAAACCAAGCTCGTCACTTTTACCTTAGCTTTCACTAAAATTTGCCGAGATCAAATGCTTTCTATCAGTTCTGATTTTCATCCTGAGCTGATGCCCAAAGATTCCAACCAAGATTTCGACGCGACCCCCTCTACTAGTTCCCGATACAATGTCCTTGTAGGCTGTGAAATGTCACAGGACCGAGGAGTAGCACGCAAGACCTTTCGACACTCGGTAATAAATTCAGACTGTTTCCGAGGTATACGACGGCGCTTAACACCAAGAACGAAAAGGAGTGATGATAAAGCTATGGAAGGTGTCCCTAACACTCTTCGCCCACAACAAATCTGTCAACGCGCGACATATGAAAACCAACTTCGAGGCGTGTCGGTGATTCATCAAGTGTGGCATTCCCATACCCATGACACGGAAGCTGGATACAAACGGCTCTGCAAACATTCTACTTGCCTCTACCCTACAAGAGGGAGAAGATCCGACCCAAACCACACTTGAAGAATGTTGACAGAACCATCAGTCCAGCTGAAGGACCTCAGAAGAGCAACACCCTTCCAAGCACCTAACTTTAAGCCGGAAGAATTGTCGCGGCTAATCTTGGCCCCCGTGACCTTCTCCTAACGTTCAAGCACCTTCTACATCACTACAATACTGCTGCGACACGACTCGAAAATGGATACGTCATTGGCATGCGCGGAAACCCTGGATTGAGCTCCATCAAAAACACCAATTCCGCATAGGGCAGGACTGCATGCCCTGTCCCTTAGCTGGTGAAGGAGAGGCTCCAACTTTAAAGCGTAAGGTAGGAGCTATAGCGT